CCCTAGTCCTCTGTTCCAGAAATAATGTCGGTGTGCACACCCCACAGTGCTGCAGGTGGTACTTACGCTCTTATTCAAATGCAGTTTCTCTTTGAAGGAGAACAAAGTAGATCGGAATAAAAGTCCTATTTTTGGAAAGGAGAAATAAGTGATGCACTGATGGATATTTGCAATGTAAAAAAAACCTTCCCTAAAGGGAAGCATCCTCAATCATTTAACTTTCTTTGCAGCAGGTGGCTCAGGAGAGTACCTGATAGCGTCTGTTGCTGACCAGTTTGTGGCTTTTCCCATTTTCACAAAATGGGAACAAAATGATGTGTTTCTATTGTAATACACAGGCACTTATTAGCAACAGCTGGTTTTTTTTTTTTTTAATTTAAATAACTACTAGCTTAATGAAGTAGAACCGACCTTGCATCAAGAACTGCAGGACCAGTTTTTGCAAACAAGTCACAGTTTGGGTTTGAGTTCAGAGGTGCTGAGGGATTTTTGTTTTCTGTTTTTGACAGAGTTCTGCTCTGTCACCCCAGGTATGGTGTGCAGTGGCATCATCATAGTTGACTGCAACCTCATACTCCTGGGCTCCAGGGATCTTCCTGCATAGCCTCCCAAGTAGCTCAGACCACAGGTATGCACCACCAGGCCTTGCTAAGCTTTTCTATTTTTAGTAGAAACAGGGTCTCTCTCTTGCTCAAGCTGGTCTCAAACTCTTGAGTTCAAGGGCTCCTCTCTCCTCAGCCTCCCAGAGTGCTAGGATTACAGGCGTGATCCACAATGCCTGGGTAGTGCTGAGTTTTTATCCTTGTCAAATAAACTACATGGAGTTGCTCTACTTTGAAAGAGCAGTGAAACGAAGCAATCAAATGTGGCAGTGAAGCCTGCAATTTTGAGATTCGGGCTGCTGGAGTACTAAGCCATGCTCCACTGCATTCTTGACAGGCTCCTTGTCTTTTTTTGAAACAGAGTGTCACTGTGTTGCCCCCATAGAGTGCCGCGATGTCATAGTTCACAGTAACCTCAAACTCTCAGGCTCAAGCAATTCTCTTGTCTCACCCTCCTAAAAGCTGGTATTATAGGCACTTGCCACCACGTGTGGTTATTTTTAGAGATGAGGTTTTGCTGTTGCTCAGGCTGGTCTTGAACCTGTGAGCTCAGGCAATCCACCTGCATGAGCCTCCCAGAGTGCTAGGATTATGGGTGTGAGCCACCGTGCCTGGCTGGGCTCCTCATCCTTAGGATGAGAATAAGGAGAGCTGCATCAAGTGGTTATGGTGGGAATTAGACAAGGAGATGCATGTTAGGCCGTTAGTGGAGCGCTGGCACTTAGCAAGGGCCCAGCAAAAGTTCACAGTTATTGATGTGGAGACAAGATGGTTATACACATATTTCATGGAGTGATAACTCGAGGGACATGTCTGGATTTATTTGGAGGATCAGGGAGACAATGCCATTACCCTTGGAGTGAGTTTGTGCTGTGGTTTCTATCTTTTGTCTATGGGATGGATGCTGGAATTCCACTATGAATCCCTTACCCAAGCAAGCAGGAGACAGCAAGCCAGCAAGGGCAGCCTGGGCTCTAGGCATTTCTGTTTCCCCCTGGCCAGGACCCTCCTTTTCTCCTCATTTGGATTCCATGATTAGATCCTCTCCATCAGATCTTGCGCCCTGCCCCCTAGATGTTCAGGACTCTCATTTCTTCTCCAGCTCTGCCTCCTCTGACACACCTCACCAGTGGAGGTAATCCAGCCACCTTTGCGCCTCTAAGGGAACTCCAGGAGGGTCCCCCATACAGAAAGATCCTCGCTCCCCCCGCTGTTCCCCTCTTCCATGCTAAGAACAGCACATTTCCCCCACTGTGGGAGGAAGGGGCATCTTCTCATCACGCTCAGGCAGAGGCAGGTGAAGTGTGGAGCTCCCTTCATGAGCGATGCTGTTTATGGGGAAGCAGGGAGACGAGGAATCTGAGCAGGAGGAAGTTCAGATTCCTGATGGGGAGCACAGAAGTCTAGGGGATTTGTACTTTGCAGCTGCTGGGAAGGGCTCTGAGAAAAGAGAGAAGGGAGAGAATCATGCAGCCCTGGGTGTCATTCCTGCTGTCACCCCAGCCACAGCTGGGCCATGGCTCAAGGTCGCCAGGAAGAGTGGGGTGCTCCTCACGTGACCAGAGCTGAGGTCTACGGTGAGCTCCAATGGAACTCCATGGTGTGAGCTTCAGGGGGAGGGACGCAGGCTTTGCCAAAACACCTGTATCAAATACTAATCATTTGAAAGTCTTTTTCCCATTTACAAACTATTTCATCTTATAACTTTTGATTTTCATAAGCCTGGATGGCAAAATTCAAGCCAGTATCAGCAGGCCATTTTATAGGGGAGATAACTGGGGTTCCCAAGGGTAAAGTGGCTTTTGGTTGTTTAGTATGTACACACTTATGACTCTTGCTTCTCTCTGAGGTGCTTAGGGCTTGGCACTCCCAGTTCAGCAGCTGGGCAGACCAGGTTGCCAGGCCTCCAGTCTCCTCTTCCTGTGCCCCTGACTGCTTACATGGTGAGCATTTTTGTGTCTTGGCTCCAGTGGTGAGAGACTGTGCTTTTGGCTGATGTGTGAACTTGAGTTCCTGCTTTTGCTCTATGCATTTGTATGTATTTCATCATGTTTGATGGCGTTTACTTTAGTCCAAGTTCAAGCCGTTAGCCTTTTCCCTCTCCTTGTTTCTCTCATTTTTACCCATACTCAAAGCAAATAATTTGTCTTCCCTTGGACTTCAAATATACAGTTCTTTCCCCTTTCCACCTCCACAGCCAGAAAAGAAGCTGTTCCTTGAAAGTTCTCTCTCTTCCCCTTTGGAAAGGATATTTAGTCTTGGGATGGACTTTTGCCTTTGGAAAAGAAGCTGATGTTCTCCTCACTTCTTGGCCCTTTTTCTTCTTCAAGCTGCACATTTGTTTCACTCCTCCTTTCCCTGTCTCAGTTTTTCCAAGTTTCTATCCTGAAGTCACTTGAGATTGTCCCTAGAGGCTGCCTGACATTTTCCTGCTGCTCTAACCCTTCTCCATTTAATTCTTCCAGCCAAAAATTATAGCCACCTTTTGTTCTTGCTAAACATTTAGGGAGCAGCATTCACAGTGTACAGCTCTCTTCTGGGTTGAAGAGGGGGCAGGGCCCGACTCTGTGACACTTGGGTCTCATGGCACTTCCATGTTCACAGTATTCTTGTTCAATTGGTTGTCACAACAATGACAGTGCTGTGAGGCTGTCAGTGTGGGAATTATCACGTCCATTTCCTAGAGGAGGAAATGCAAGATCATAGAGGTGGCCCCTAAGGGCCACCTGACTTGAAGTTTTGGTCTTCAGCTGTGATTCTGGATTTTTCATAAGAAAACCTGCTGTTTTCGAGTAGAGTATAAATGTTCAAACATACGGTCTAAGTTGATCCCGGGTGTGAGCCTAGGAGAGATCAGCTTGGCTTCTAACACATCCTGTATCTTAGGAAATTCACATGAGTTCCAGGGCTGGCCAGTCCTCGGACCTGTGGTCAAGTATTGGTTGCTGACACAACCTAGCCAAGCTCCGAAACTCCCCATTTCTCAAGGTGAATCAACCACATTATGGTCAGATGTTGCAGGTCTAATAGCTAGCAACTTTCTCATATCTCCAGTCTCATTCATTAAGTATCGATTTATGTTTATTCTCAGAGAGCCAACTTACTTCTGTTTCTTATGGGACATCCCCCTGTCACTTCCCTGTGTCACTCATAGGGCCCAGAGAGGTCTGTTCACTCTGAGTTGAGCTTCAGTTTTCCTCTCTGCTCCAGTCATCCTACAGTGTGGGTAGTTTTGTTGATGCTCGTGGACCCTTCATTTCTTGCATCAGAGAGGACAGATGCTAGGCATCACCTGCATGATATTAATGGGTTCTTACTCATTGTTTCCATGAAAAGTCAGACTCAGGAAGCTGTTATTTCCATTTTCATTTAACAATGCTTCCTTTTGGGAGGCCAAATCCCAGAGACAGAAGAAACCTAACACAGTGGCAGCTTTCTTAAATCTCAATAAACATTTTCCTAAATCGTGTCTAAAATGCTCACTGTACTGTTTTTATTTTGCCTATAAACCCATCAATTTCAGGTTTCACTTTGAAAAATGTAGAACAGTTGGATTGTTCATTAACTCAGAAAACATATGTTGGACACTCTACGATCCAGACATGGTGCTACATATGCTTTAGATGCGCTGATGCAAAAAGGATCTTTGTCCTCTGGGAGCACGTAAGCTTACGTAGAAGCCAGCAAGGGAACAGACCGAAGTGTGAAGAATGCTATGATGGAGCAGTGTGCAAAGCAGCACAGGAATTCTTGGGGGATATATGTGGATGTTCTTATCCTCTGGCAGTAGCTGTGTCTCCCCACAACTACACTTCCAAGTGGTTGACACCTGCGCCACCCCCATGGCTCCAGCTTTCCGGGGCTCTAGCATCATTATTTCCTCCCCTGATCTCCTTAGTCCTGGGGTGGTAATGGCTTCCCACCATTGCTAGTTAATTCATTTTACTCTTCCCATATCTCTGAAAGCAATTCTTTCATTCGGTCTCTTCCTTTGAACCATCTTGGGTGAATTATAATTCTGCTGGGAATGCTATTATTAATATAGGCACCAGAATGTGAGGGAGTTTTGTGTAGGCGGGGAACTAAATGTAGTTCAGTAGGACCCAGGTATAGGGTGTGAGGTGGAGGGAGGACAGATGAATGATCAGGGCTGGGGCCTATAGCAGCCAACTCATGAATGCTGGAGGTTTGGATTTTTGTTCTGCAAGTTCTGATTAGCTATTGAAGGATCGTAAGGAGGACACAGACATGGCTGGGTTTCTATTTTAGAAAGTTGATTGGCCTCTGTGTAGACTGGGTTGTCAAGGCGGTGTGGGAGGGATTAAGACAGGGAGATTAGCTTTTTTTCCTGTAGAAGCCACGGGGTAGAGAGGAGCATGGCCTTCTTCTCTCCCCACCATGGCTTGTGCTTGACTATAGATATCAGTGTACTCTGAAAAAGGGGAGTCATCTGGCAAAAACATCACTTTACCTGCTGTCTTCAAGGCTCCTATTAGACCAGAAATTGTGAATATTGTTCATACCAACTTGTGTAAAAACAACAGACAATCACATGTTATCAGTGAATTAGCAGGTCATCAGACTGTCAGACCATCAGACCAGTGCTGAGTCTTGGGGTACTGGCAGAGCTGTGGCTAGGATTCTCAGAGTTTGAGGTGGTAGGACTCACCATTCTGGCCAGGGTGCTTTTGGAAATATGGGTGTAAGCTGCATGTTTGCACCAAGCAAAACCCTGGCACCATAGAGTGAACACAACCCAAAAGCTATATGCCATCTGCCCTGCCCTGGCCACCTCAGTCTTACCAGTGCTAGTCACATCTAAAGATCATCATATTGAAGAAGATCCTGAACCTTCTTTGGCGGTTAAAGATAAAGTTGAAGGTTATAAGAAGACCAAGGAGGCTGTTTTACTTCTCAAGAAACTTAAGGGCTAGACTAATGTCAAGAAGGTCTATGCCTCTCAGCGAGTGAGGGCTGGTAAGGGAAATGAGAAACCATTGTGGTATCCAGCGCAGGGGACCCTGCACCATCTATGATGAGGATGATGTATCATCAAGGCTTTCAGGAACACTCTTGGAATAACTCTGCTTAATGTAAGCCAGATGAACATTTTGAAACGTGCTCCTGGTGGGCATGTGGGACTTTTCTGCATTTGGACTGAAAATGCTTTACGAAAGTTAGATGAATGGCAAGGCACCTGGCGTACTGCTGCTTCTCTCAGGAATAACTACAACTTTCCCAAGCACAAGGTGATGAGCACAGGCCTTAGCAGAATCTTGAAAACCCCAGAGATCCAAAGAGCTCTTCGAGCACCAGGCAAAAAGATTCATTGCAGAGTCCTGAAGAAGAATCCATCAAAAAACCCAAGAATCATGTTGAAGCTAAACTCATATGCAAAGACCATGTGCCAGACAGAATACCATTCTTCACCAGGCCAGGAATCCCACACGTCCCTGGATAGGGCAGCTGCAGCACTGTAGGCCAAGTCAAATGAGAAGGGGGATGCAGGCAAGAAGCCAGAAACAGGCTGCCTCTACCAAGAAACCAGCAGCTGAAAAGAAGCCAGCCGAGAAGAAACCTACCACAGAGGGAAAGAAGCCGGCTCCATAAACTCTTAAATTTGTTTACTCCATAAAGGTCAGATCATTTTGGACAGCTTATTTTGCCTGATCAAAGAGTCAAAAACAAACAAATAAACAAACAAGAACAACACCCCCCCAAAACAAACAAACAAACAAACAAAAGACAAAGAGATCGGTCAGCAGGAACGCAGCACACAGATGATTGGAGCTGAATCAGCTAATGGTAACCTGAGATTTCCTGCCTCCATGAGCCATTGGTTCTTATCCTTCTAAAAGTAGTTAGTCATTTTGCTTCAACTTTGGGAAACTACCCAGTATCTCTCTAATACATATATTCCTTATAACAAATTAGCCTGAGCTAGTTTCTCTTGCTTCCAACTAAAGAACCCTAAGTGATACCAGATTCCAGTGAGAAATGAATAGGGCATGAATGGGACAGA